TTCTAACATTTATTGTATATTTGGTGTATATTTCTATGTGAAAAAAATGTTTTAAATGTTTGTTTTCAAAATATGACGTACTAAATACTTATGTCATTTTATGTCATATGTATGTCATTTTATTTATGCAACTTCAATGCAGAAAAACGGTTACAAATATAAATATATATTATATATATATATTATATATATATATATATATATATATATATATATATATGTCGTACCTAGTAGCCAGAACTCACTTCTCAGCCTACTATGCAAGGCCCGATTTGCCTAATAAGTCAAGTTTTCATGAATTAATAGTTTTTCGACTACCTAACCTACCTAACCTAACCTAACCTTATTTTTTCGGCTACCTAACTTAACCTAACCAATAAAGATAGGTTAGGTTAGGTTAGGTAGGGTTGGTTAGGTTCGGTCATATATCTACGTTAATTTTAACTCCAGTAAAAAAAAATTGACCTCATACATAATGAAATGTGTAGGTTTATCATTTCATAAGAAAAAAATTAGAGAAAATATATTAGTTCAGGAAAACTTGGCTTATTAGGCAAATTGGGCCTTGCATAGTAGGCTGAAAAGTGCGTTCTGGCTACTAGGTACGACATATATATATATATATATATATATATATATATATATATATATATATATATATATATATATACACACACACACACACACACACACACACACACATAAGAGGAAGTTGCATTCTAATACCTATAATGTAGAGCATTATGGCGACCCATCCATCAAAAACATTGTGAAATAACATTAAAGCCAAACCTAATAAACATAATACGATTAAACTATTCCCTGAATAATAGCAGTAATTCTCTGACATAGAAAAACTGGTTTAAACTCCGTAATGCGTTGCTAAATGCAGTAACTGTGTTCATTATGCAACACCGAGTCACACACACACATTAGGAGTATGTAAACATCACCGGCTGACACGGTAGCCCAGTGAGGCAACGCTCTCCAGCGACCATTCCTGCCACCGCCTGGGGGCTGACCTTGGCTGTAAAGTCTCGTCACCATCCTACACCTCCCACACAGTACTTTACACATTCGAACCGCTAACTGGAGCAACCTTGTATTCCCTGCGACCGACTGATTAACGTAAGTCACTTGTTTAGAGAAGGTTGGTCGTGCGATGGATTGTATGTAATCTCAGGTGGGTGACTGACGCAAACCCACTCCATAGACCATGAGAGTCTTCAGGTCCTGCCTACTGTGGCTTGTCTTCTCTCCTCCGTGACTAGCAGATTGTCCTTTTTACAGCAGTGTAGGGAACGCTGTTTACACGAGGCGGTGTGTGTGTGTTTAATGTCTGGGGAAAAGGGTCGAGAGGAGGCGGCATTGCGAGACCGTTAATGCTGTCTGGGAAGGATGAGAGGCATTATGTGGGTTCTGGGAATGACGAGAGGCATTATGTGGGTTCTGGGAATGACGAGAGGCATTATGTGGGTTCTGGGAATGACGAGAGCCATTATGTGGGTTCTGGGAATGACGAGAGCCATTATGTGGGTTCTGGGAATGACGAGAGCCATTATGTGGGTTCTGGGAATGACGAGAGCCATTATGTGGGTTCTGGGAATGACGAGAGCCATTATGTGGGTTCTGGGAATGACGAGAGCCATTATGTGGGTTCTGGGAATGACGAGAGCCATTATGTGGGTTCTGGGATGCGTGAAAGGCAGATTGTGGGATCTGGGAAGGTTGAGAGGCAATTTGAGGCCTCTCAAATTTGAGGTTCTGGGGAAAAGGTGAGACAGTTTGTGAACTGGTGGAGAGATGGTCTGGTGGGGTGATGGTTTGGTGGGAATATGGTCTGCTGAGGTGATGGTCTGGTGGGGGAAATGGTCTGTTAGGGGTGATAGTGTGGTGGGGATGTGGTCTAATAGCGGGGATAGTCCGAGACGGAGCTGTGTTGAGAGCACCAGTGTGTGTGTTGACAGTGTGACTGAGGAGCCTTGTGAAGGTCACTGATGGAAAGCGTCGAGTGTAGGTCGAGGCTGTTATGAATGGCCAAAAATTATGTAAATATGTGTTTAACTGCTGGTGTTTCATGCACCCAGAAAAACTTAATATTCACAGGTATGTTTAAAGCTTTTATATTATATTATGTTATAATATATATATATATATATATATACATATATATATATATATATATATATATATTATATATATATATACACATATATATACATACACACACACATATATATACATACACACACACACCTGTCTATAACACATATACTAAAACTCGATGGGAATATTTGCATTGGAAATATACGAACTGAAGAGACTATAAATGCTTACAGATTTATTTACAGTAAAGAAAGCTGCGGGTGACTCAGCCACAGGATATATTGTGAGGGCGGAGAGTGGGAATGATTAGCGGTGCGGACGTGCAGTAAGATCCCCAACCCCTCGCTCTCTTAGACAACTTGTACAGTATTCGTGAAGGAGGAGCTGAGGGTACCTGGCGTTGTCTGGCTCTGGCTATCTATATCCATCCATTTATCTGTAGACACCGAGTCACAGTAACGTGGCGTCTATCAATCCATTTATACATCTATCCATCTATTTCTCATTCTATCCACCTGTCTATCTAGAGACCTATTCAAATATCCATGCATCTTTTTATCGAGTAATCCATCGATCCATCTATCAATCCAGCCATCTATCCATCTATTTTCCACTTTTTTCAACTATTCATCTAGCCATCAGTACCCATTTATCCATCCACATATCCATGTATCAATATCTATCCAGCTACTTGAGTGGGTTTCGGGGCTTAGCATCACCGTGGCCCGGTCATCGCCCAGGCCTCCTCGTTGCTGGACTGGTCAACCAGGCTGTTGGGAACACACACACACACCAAAGAGCCAGAGCTCAACCCCCGCAAGCACAAATAGGTGAGTACACACACACACATCCACACACGCACGTCATAGTGCGTTTGAAGAAACACGCTTTCTTCAAATCGGCCCTTTCACGCCTGGTTCCTCTCCCCAACATGATCATACTTCCCCATCCCACCCCTTCATCCTAAACCCCGACTCAACCATAGCCTCAACCACCTAATGTCTTCCTCCCGCACCACACCATCTATCCACCCTCCCAGCCCCCCAACTCTTTTACAACCACACCTGTACTTCGGCCCCACCAAGGCCGGACAACATGGACCCTTGACCAATCCACCACCTCCTCTTATGTTCTCTTCAACCTCACCATTCCAGTCCTCGTGTATCCTGCCTCCTCTCTCAGCTCTCCACCCACAGAAATCAAATTTATTGTCGACCGCAAACCACACCCAAACATATTACCTCTCACTTACCCTTTCCTACCAAGTCCCCCCCCCCCCTCTATGTCACAAAATCTACTCCTGACATTTTTATCTACCACCATTCTCATACGTCCCTCATTCTGTATTCAGTTCCTTAAACCACCTTCAACTCACCAGACACTTGTACCTCATCCACCCCCCACATCCTGCATTAACAACACCACACAGACTAACCTCCAAGAGACAGGGCCCATAGATGATTTAGAAACCACAAAACACAAAAATGTTACAAAGTATGGTACACAGATGAGGATGGTATCTCTAACAAGTTTAGTGAGATGAAGCAAAGAGCCAAGGAAACAGATCGAAATGTACAAGCTGGACTTGTCATCCTGTGGTCCTGGGTTCGATCCCAGGCGCCGGCGAGAAACAATGGGCAGAGTTTCTTTCACCCTATGCCCCTGTTACCTAGCAGTAAAATAGGTACCTGGGTGTTAGTCAGCTGTCACGGGCTGCTTCCTAGGGGTGGAGGCCTGGTCGAGGACCGGGCCCCGGGGACACTAAAGCCCCGAAATCATCAAGATAACCTCAAGATAACCAACATGAATTGGTAGAAACAAAATGTTAGAAAGTCAAAACAGGTGTTATGTGCTCCATGGGTTACACAATTGTGAGGAGGGAAAGGTTCAGAATAGACAGATATGTAGCTATTTGATTTCATGGAAATTTAAGGGATTTGCAATACCAAACAAAAGGTATGGACTTTTAAGGAATGGGCAATGCTAAACAACAACGAGGGTTACCTCCTATCTATAGTTTTACAACTAGATTTACAACTTTTACAACAGACAAGAAATAAGTGAGCATATGACTCAAGTCATGAGTCTTATGACTAGACAGCCGACAGATGGAAAGGTGGGGCACAAGAGATGAAGCAGTACCCTTTGAGCTTTGATTGGTAAGACCGCACCCCAAAACACACAGTGACACCTTTACTTTGATGAAAAAATTTAAACAACCTTGAAAGCTGAAAATGGAAATATGGAAGGGGAAAGAAATTATCAAGGGAAAGCACCAAACCCTATAGCGACTATATAGCACTGGGAAGGGGCCAGGATAAGGATTTGGGATGGGACGGGGGAAAGGAATGGTGCCCAACCACTTGGACGGTCGGCGATTGAACTCTGACCTGCACGAAGCGAGACGTGTTGAGATATATTTTACTGTCTCTATAAACGTACTTGAACTTGAAGACCATCGATCTACCGACCAGCCCAAGTAGTTAAGATGCGAATATGGAGCATTCTATTGTTGAGGCAATTGGTGCAACTAGAGGACACACTCACAAAACATAGTACATATGTGAAAAGTGTATTTGTTTTCAGAGTTACACATTATTATATATAATATATATATATATATATATATATATATATATATATATATATATATATATATATATATATATATATATATATATATATTGGATAGGAAGTGAAATGGCAGAGTTAAATGGCAAGTTTTTCCCTGAATGCTCTGTGTTCCCTTCTCTGAGGCTGTGGGTCCCTATAATTGCACGAGAGGTGGTACCCCCCTATAATTGCACCAGAGGTCGTACCCCCCCTATACAGATACAAATTTGTTAAAACATCTCAATCATTAAAGTATGGTGTGAAATGAAATCGTATTGAAGTACTTTTTCATTTTTTAATTACAAAGACAAAGAGAGCTTATACAAACATTATATTCTTAGCTTAAGACAGAAAGGTACTTTATTATAATTTTTCTTAGGATAATAAGAATTACCTGACCAGTTGATGAAGAATCTCCTCAACGTATTGGGCAATCTTCACCGACGACTCGGGTCCACAGGCCGCCAGCAGCCGGGAGGACCCGGGTCTACCAGCCGTAGCTGCCTCTACCTCCACCACCTCCGGATCTTCCTGCATATCCACCACCAGCACCACCAAAGCTCCGGCTGATTCCAATCCCTTGTCCACCGCCATATCCACCTCTGAAACCACCTGCTTGTCTGCCTCCGAAGCCCCCACCATAACCACTTCTAAAGCCACCTGCTTGCCCACCGCCGAAGCCGCCGCCATAACCTCCTCTGAAGCCACCTCCTTGCCCGCCTCCGAAGCCACCTCTTTGCCCGCCTCCAAAGCCGCCACCATAACCTCCTCTGAAGCCACCGCCTTGCCCGCCTCCGAAGCCACCTCCCACTCCTCCGCCGAAGCCACCGCCATACCCGCCTCTGAAGCCACCTCCTTTTCCGCCGCCGAAGCCACCACCTTGCCCACCTCCAAAGCCGCCGCCATACCCGCCTCTAAAGCCGCCACCTTTTTTGCCGCCCTTGAAGCCTCCTCCAGAACCAAGGCCTCCGCCAAAGCCTCCTCCGTACCTGACGGAGACTGGGCGGAACTTCCGTCTACCTCCAGACCTGCCCTTCTTCTTGGTGGGGTCTGGGCCAGGGGCCGGGTCGCCGCTGACGCAGGAGAGCACCGCCGACAGCGCCAGCAGCAGTGCTAGTGCCCAGTAAGTCTGATGAGGGAGGGAAGAGGCTGGTTAGTGAGATATGCTAGCTGGTCCACCGAGCTATAGTCGCTGGCACTAGAACTTGACAATTGTGAGAGCACTGATGAGAACCACCATAGCACCATTGTTATGTCAAAAAGTGTCTAAATGGATGATCAATGGTCGTACCTTTGCCAAGGTCGTACATAAGCCTGCGTTTGAGGCACTATAATTTGAATCACCACTGACACTAGTGTGCTCCGTCATACAGGGAATGACGGAGCCTGTGCCCGCGTGAATTGGATACCTTCTGAGGCAATCGTCTTTTGTTATGTTAGGAACCAATCACAAATCACAATGAATTTTGACAAGTGAAAATCGGCTTATGATTTTAACAACTGCATCATAAGGAAAATTATAATATCGATCCTCATTTCGCCTAATGGGGATTTCAGCGTTTTGCTGGTCAATTTAACGTTATTACCAAACACCCAGGAGAATGTTCTTTTAATCTCTGGCGCTGGGCAGACCACAAAGACTCCCATCAAGCGAAATTTCATGAACTGTGAAACAGGTCTGGGGGTTACAGTCTCCAATAGTTACGGCGTTGCAGTGAGAATTTCTCCGCAATGAATTCCGACACATTTCTCTCAGTAATTTATACCACACGAAGCCTGAGAACACCCAGGAGTACAGCTCACGAGGCTTCACGAATGAGGCTGTTCTCTTCCCTGCTGGGAGAGTTAGAGAGCTGATCCCAGGGTCTCTAGTTATACTAGTGATTCTGATTTGTTTGTTTTTGTATTTAGAATTGTTTCCCTTATTACACTATGAATATAATGCTCGCCGACCATGTTTTAAATTTTATCAATAAAGAACTGAAATATTTAATTATTACAAATAATTATTTGCTATTATATAGATCATTTCGGATCATTTCAAGAAATAAGAAAACATTCCAGTTTACTGCATTTATTGTTATTTGTTCAAATATTAGTTTTATTATTTTCTCCTCATTACATTGTGTACATTTAAAGGATATTCTTCCCTCCTTTACATCTTGTGTAATATTATATATTCGATCTCCCCTTTCACCTATACTATTCCCACAGACATGTTCATAATTGTTGGTGTTCTATGTAATCAAACACGGATTTTGCTCATAAATAAAATTATATATTTTATTTTGCGTAGACCTAGGATATGACTAGGTTACTTGTTTAGGTTATGTTGAAAATTATTTGTATTTGCAGTACATGGGTGTAACATTTAAAGAGGTACGATTCGAGCACAAGAGGTGAGCGCAGCTATGCTCGTGGGTAGTTGGAAAGTAATCAGTTGTGAGTTGTGGGTAAAGTCTTTTCACCTATAAATGAGGAACATGGTGGCTGGATTAGCCAGCATTTAGCCAGTGTTTTTGAAGTCGCATTGCTCAGAGTGCTTCACACACGGGCCTGCAGGGAACGAGCTGGCTTCCCCAGAGTGAAATTGTGGATTCATTACATGAAATCTAAGGACGGCTAGTTGACAACACATTTCTCTGTCTTGTAAAGAATCTTTCATGAAATCAGTTAAATTGTCCATAACCATTTTTAATCCCAGAGTTCCCGGAGTGTTGCTGCTGCACTTATAACGTCACACTGCAGGTCACAGGCTCTCGTCCAATGGTCGAGTGATCTTGTATAATGAGAGAACGATTCCTGTGGCAACAACTCGAGCACGCGGCTCCAGCTCCCTCGGTTTCTAATGGTCACTTCATCTTTGAAATAAATGCCAACACGATATTTCGACGACATTCCTGACTTCTTAATGTTTCATTTGGATATAATTATCGCTTTCCATAATGCTCCAGGCACAGAAAATTGATCCAATTAAAACATGTTGCCAGACAGAGATTGCATGATGTAAAGCAATCAAATATCTAAAATTATTATCTTAAATATAGCTTTCATGTTGCAGATAATTATGAATTAAAGTCATTTCTTTGCAATACATCGTTGACGTGGATGAATATTTGTAGACTACTGGTTCTGAACATTTTCCGGCTACACACTTTTTAATGGTTTGCATACCTTTTTAATAAAGTTAAGTCTTTTTTATAAAGTTATCAAAACGTTTGAATAAAGTTAACACTACACTTTTTATGAAGTTACCAAAATTTTTTAATAAAGTTAACACACTTCTCTTCTGAAGTTAACAAACTGTTTTAATAAAATTAACTCAGATTTTAAATTATAATTTACCTTTTCAATCAAATTAATTCACCCTTTAAATAAACATAACATCCTAGTAATCAAGTTATACATATTTTTCAAAAAGCAACAGAGCCTTTAAATTAAGTTAACACCATTTTATATAAAACTAAACCCCTTATTTTCAATCAAAATAATGCACTATTTTTTTGTTTACAGATAAAAGATGTTAACGATAATACATTCTTCTTAAGTCACTTAAATATATGACATTGTTTTTTATATTCTCCTAGTGCGAACCACAAATAGAACTGTGCATTCACTAATTGTAATGTATTTTTAAATACATATAAGGAACAACCAAATTTAGTGTATAATTTGCAATGCAATCATTTGATAGGTTTCAATATCTGTTTACTGGGACTATCGCGAGCAGCTAATATGATCGTCTCCATGTCAATGCGGGCACACTGGAGGTGATGGATGGCAGAGGTGCTATAGTGAGTACCGTAATTTTTTTATTGTTGCCACCGGAGGCGACTAGTTTATTGTGCACCCCATACTCATCCTATGAGCGGTAGCGCAAAAAGCAATACAGAGGGCACAAAAGGTCTTTATCAGACCTCAACTTAAATTACTACATAAACAATTTCATCTATCCTTCACACCTGATAATTACAATGTCAGCTAATTACAGAGAATGTTCTATTTCAAGAGCTATATATTAACAGTAAGTCATTATACATACATGGTAGGTCTTATCGCTAATACACAATTGTTTGAGCATTGGAGATATGACAGTCATAAGGGAGCTGCTATATATTTTATTATCAGTCACAATACACTACTTGTTTCTTAATCTCATATGTCGTTAATCTACTGGAAACGAAATATGGATACATTGCAAGGATTTCAGGTATTTTATCCTTGGCAATTAGAAAGATTACTATCATACAGTGTGAGCTTAGATTTATTTCTAAATGGCTAAATTTTACTACAATCCAAGATATAGTGTTCGAGTATAGTGTTCGAGTGTGTGTCCCTGTCGTTGTCCACACACTTTACTTCACCTACATCCCTATACAAGCCGAACTGCTAGAGATAATTGTAGCCATGTCTTATTCAAGTTGTGACAACGTCTGTTAGTCTTCTGACTGTTACTTGCCCCATACACATGTTTTACTTCACACATTTCATTGTGATAAACAATGGACCTGCTAGCTCAAGTTTGCACTGTTCTACTTTCTTCAAATTCATCCAGGAGTTCTCATCTAATGACACTTTTAAGGGAACTATTTGATAACTCAAGATTCCGTTCAATACTGTCTCTATTTACTGTAACCTTAGCAAGGGGGTCAACTTTATCATGTTCCTGCAGGCCAATGTGAGAAGGAATCCACAATATTGTATTTACCCTCTTGCTAAGTATGCTTAGATATCTATGTTTGGCTTCTGAGAGAAGCGCGTTATTACTTGATTGCAAACTGTTTATTGCTGTAGTGAGGAAAGGGAGTCGGAAATAATTAAACTGTCTATTTCAGTGTTGTCAATAATTTTGAGTGTTACCAGTAGATGTTCTGTGTCCTTGAGCCCCCGGTGGGGGGGGGGCTGACCTTGCTGGCTCCGTGTGTGTGAAACTATCATCTTCGGCCCTCCCGTGTGAAGCTGTCAACTCTGCCCCCCCCCCCCCCGTGAAGCTGTCAACTCTGCCCCAACCCGTGAAGCTGTCAACTCTGCCCCAACCCGTGAAGCTGTCATTTTTTGCCCTCCGTGTGAAGCTGCCAACTCTGCCCCCCCCCCCCCGTGTGAAGCTGACATCTCTGCCCCCCCCCCCCCCCGTGTGAAGCTGTCATCTCTGCCCCCCCCCTCGTGTGACGCTGTCATCTCCAGCCCCCTGTGTGAAGCTGTTATCTCTGGTGTACCCCCCCCCCCCGTTTGAAGCTGTCGTTTCCAGTCCTCCGTGTGAAGCTGACATCTCCGGCCCCGTATGTATCTATGCCTTCCAGCCCCATGTGAACTTGACCTCTCAGGCCCTTATGAATATCCCTCATGTTATTTACAACACATATTCTAAATACAGTAACAAATATAATAATACAAAATACCTGAATCAACAATATAAAGTGCATTTTGGTAAGTAAATGAGCCAATAAATATGAGTAGGATGAGTTACGTTGACTCACAGCCGCCAGTACTCACAAGCTTCATGCTGGATGCCTGGGGGGAGGAGGGTAGAGCGCTTGCTATCCTCGCCTGACCAAACTTAATCTGAGTGCGCTTGCAGGCTCGAGCCTCGGTTATATACGTGCCTTGGCCTATCCCCTCTCCCTCTAGTCTCTCCTACCCACCCTTACCTATGGCCACCCTAACCCCTGCCCCTCTACCCTTAGCCCCCAAAATTTTGGTCAAGGCTATGAGAAGATTTCCCCTTGCTATTATCTACTATTGTTTATACCATGATTGTTGACGATTCGTGTAAGGCTTTTGTTTCACGTTTTAATGGGGCCGAGATTTTTGCAAACATTATATAAATAATAACTACATAATACAAATTGTGAGAATATTGAGAATACAATACATGGCGGGGCCAGAGTTGTAGGGAGAAGCACACTTACTGCAGGTGATGTATTGTAATACATCCGGACTCCACGACGGGAGAGATGTTGTTTGCTGGTGTGTGTTATACACTGGACACATTGTATACCCTCACTCGCAGCTTAACCTCACCTCCCTCATTCCCCACTCAGATTGAATACACCTCCCTCATACCTCACACTCACTTTTAACTACGCCTTTCTCATGCCCCACCTCTCGGCTTAACTACACCTACCTCCCTCATACATCACTCTCAGCTTCTCTACACCGCCCTCACGCCCCTCCTCTCAGCTTTACTACACTTGCCTCTCTCATACCTCACTCTCAGCTTCTTTATATCCTCCTCACTCGAGGATAACCAACCAAAACAGTAGCACCGCGCGTGAATACCAGAAATCTCTCCCTTTTGTAAGAAAGCTACAGTAGTCTCGACTCGAATAATCCACCGTACACAATTGATAAGACCTCGTATATACAGGATGGCAATTATGTCACTTTAATAACTCAAGAGCTTTTGTACACGAATGACTAACTGTACAGAGTAGCTATCAGTAAGTTACAAGCGCCACTGCTGCCGTGCAAGTGAAGGCAGGACACGTGGAAAGAGACGCAACTTTGGTAACTGTGCTGGAGAAATGCACTTCTACTTTACAAGAATTCAAGTTACCTTTGACCAAAATATTATGTACTATTATTTGCATTATAATTATTCATATTATTATAAGTATAAAGATTTATATTATTACTATTATTAGAGTTGGGAATCAATGTGTGATCAGTTGATATACAATGGACAACGATTATATTCATAATTAGTATTTTGTATTTTGATTGTGAGACTTGTCGATGATGAGGCTTGTCCAAGTCGAGCCTCTAGCTTTATGACATGAACTTATTCACCAAACGCAGATTTGTAGCTTATATGGTGTGTGGGAACAGGAAGGGGGGGGGGAGGGGAGGGGAGAGAGAGACAGAGAGAGAGGGAGGGAGGGAGGGAGGGAGGGAGGGAGGGAGACAGACAGACAGAGAATCAGACACACAGAGGAACGGCCTTGGCTTAACCTGTAGTTAATTATTTCCTTTTCCGGAAGCTGAGCTCACCGCTGTTGTGCCTCTTCTCTTGCCTATCCTCCTGGGTGTGTGCTCACCTAGGCCTGTTCACATAAAAGGCTTTCAGGGTGGAGTTTCAATGGCTAAAACCAGCTTTTAGAACCATTAAAGCAATGAACGTTGTCTCGTTCTCTGATCATATTTAGATTTTAAATTTAATTATATTTTTTATATTATGTAACAACACACAATGTAACACACCGAAAAATTTGTTTAAATGACAAATTTGACATTGAAGTTGTTTCCGGTATGTGTGTGTGATTCATATGTCTTTAGTTACAATTAATGCTCCCAGTTCTTGTATATGTTATGCTTTTAATAGTGCTTTTGTCTGCTTTATCGATTCCCCCAAGAATCTTTTATGTCGCAATCATGTGCCCCTATTCCTGCTGTCCTTCAGTGTTGTATGGACCGAGTATGTGATCTTACATATTTGAGTTGGAGAATGATGAGCTCTAACTTCACAGGTTGTAGATAAGGTACTTGACTGGGCTGTGTACATGTTTAGATCCTTGATTTAAACACAACCAGTGTTCAGCTACAGAACTGAGTTTATCTAATCTTATCCTTGTATTAACAATACAAGCTGATGTGTCGAATTGTCTATAGGTGTATTGTGGATCTTCATCAACTTCTGCATTCACCCCTAAAGGCCCCACCTGCCCCTTACAGCCCACAGTATGTAATTAGGAAAAAAGAAATTTCTTGATTTTGCATTGGAATAATTAGCACATATTCTAGCCTAACATAGCTAACAGCCAATATCTATATATCTAAGTGAACAAATTGTTTACAGTGGCTAAGACTACCATATCCCTTACCTAGTAAGCATTCATAGAATACTAGTAAATGTTCTGTGTGTAAAAAAAAAAAAAAAAAAAAAAGTACTTAATTTTATCAATTGTTAGACAACTGCATCTTATTCATATACTAGTATACCATTATTCTTCACTTGTGTTAACATATATAAACACACATTGAAGTGTATTATCCAGCATTATCTTTAATGGACTGATTTTCAGAGCTGCTCATTACTAAATACTCTTTAAAAAAAGATGCTTCTTCACAATAAGAGCATTTCATTACAACATATCGATAATCAACTGTAGCAAACCATATACAGGTAAAACCAATAGGCAATTCTACAGTATTTTATCAAACTCCTACTAAGGTACTATATTTTGTAATAAGTTTGCTAAAATGGTACTATTTACTGTTTTTAAACAATTTACCGATTAGGTGCATTCGGATAAAAATAACCAAATTTTTACATTTTTTTATAATTATGCTGCCTGCTACACCAGATTCCAGGGAGAAAAGGAAGTCTGATCTTTGGAATCATTACCTAAATAGACAGGATAGCTCATTTATCAAAATACATTAACATTATACATATTTTTATAAAAAAAAAAAAAAAATATCTCGGAAACCCCGAAAAGTCAAAAACTACCAATTCTTCACCTGCTTCAGAAACAGGAAAGAAAAGAACACTTAAGTGTCTACAAAACCACATGACTCAACAGCTTGACAGATGTCAAGTGTCAAGTGTTAGCTAAACAAGTTATCTCTTGATTTAATCATCTTGAATAACAAGAGTCAAGGCTGCAGTTGATAATTTTTTTCAAATTAAACATCTTACTGAGACTTATTTAGCAGAAAGAGCTAATGATGATTTAACCCAAAGGGAACTTCAGGATATCATAACTGAAACAGCAATTTATGACAATAAAATACAGGATCAACTAGATCCCTTAATCAAACTTGCATAACTAGCAGTAGCCCAACCAAATGTGAGCACAGCCACTCAGTTTAGTACCACAACTATCCCACATATAGCAGCCGAGCTCCCAAAGGTACAATTACCATGTTTTGAGGGCTAAGCTGAAGACGATTGGGATGCCTTCTGGCGAGCTTTTGATTCTCTAATAAACTCCAAGGCTCAAACAGGCTACTAAATTTCAATATTTGTAAGGCTAGCTAAAAGGAGAGGCCAGACAGGTCATTGCAAATTTGTCATTAACAGATGATGATTATGACCATGCCATACAGTTGTTATAAGATAACTACAGTGATATGGAGATTGCAATTGCCCGTCTCTCATACAAACTATTTAATTTACTCTCTCCAAATAAAAGGTATGAATCACTACAATCATTTTGATTGTCTATAGAATCAATCATCAAAGCCTTCAGTACTAAAGCACCCATAGGAAATGCAGAGTGGCTTACAAAGTTAATCATACAAAGGAAAGTACCTAAAGTGGTCATAGACACCCTATGCACCGATTATAACACCAACATCTTATCATTAAACCAAATCTTTGAACGACATTGAGCTTACATAAAGATTACAGAGCTGAGGAATACTTAGAACAAAAGATAAAATCAATAAAAGTGAATCCTCAGACAAAAAGAGAAATGTCCAAACTGGCAATCAGAAATCAAGGCAACAAAACTCCTATTCTACAAAGTGGAAACAGAGTACTGTTGGCTCCTATGCTATATCACCCACAGTTAACAGAACTGCAGGAAATCAAGCTTCCTAGACAGATAAGACAAAAGAAGCTACATGTGCTCCTAGATGTTTATTCTGTCAGCAAGCACATAACATTTATCAATGCACAGTTTATGAAGACAGTGCCAGTTGAATCAATCAACTGAAATATCTGAACAGATGCATCCTTTGTCTGCGGAAGCATGATTCGAGTGTATGTAACACTCGATTGCAGACCTGCTAATATTGTCATAAAAGTGTACATCACTCAGCACTCTGTGGTGATATTAGCACTCGATTCATATCACAGGCAACCAATAATCAACCTGCATCTCAGGCAAAGCCAAAAGATGATAAAACCTCAACAGCTGTAGAATTCTGTAAAGTACTGTGTAATGTCAATGCCTTAGTAACAGACTATTACCATAGCCCATTACCTACTGCACAGCTGGAACTAAGCAATCAAGGAACATGTATTCAAACTAGAGGCTTTTTTGATCAAAGCACACAGAAAACCTTTATTCGAAAAAAAAGATGGCAGAAGATTTACAACTTAAATCTTCAAATCAATTTTCTACATCCATATCAGGGTTTTTGATCAATTCAGGTCTTAAAATCTATCAGGTAGTAAAGCCTAATGTCTGTCTAGGTACATCCCAAAAGACGGTCGAAGCTATAGTAGTTGAAAAGGTTCCTACTGACCTAGAAGTGACTGATCTGGCTGCCACCACTAAATTTCTAAAAAAAGAAAAGGAATCCAATTAGCAGATCCTCTGATCGATTTTAACAACATAGGGGATATCAGAATCCTTATTGAAGCTGACTATTATCACCAATTCATTTTGGGATCAGAGAAATCTTTGAGTAGGAATTTTCTCAAATCGGCAGAGGGCTTATTGATGACAGGATATGTATAAGATCTTGAACCTTCAACTCCTGATAAATTACTGCATACAGAAACTGTAATTTTGGCTTGACTAGGCAAAGAAAAGTCTCCAATTAATATCCCTCACATGGCTGATGACGGATTAGAATCTGTACATATATTGTGGGAACCTTTTCAATTAATCTAGACACTCATGAGGTACACAACCTCAGTCATTGAAAGTCA